CCTTTCTCACCGATAAAACCTTTCATCCCTCTGTAACCAGGATCACCTCGTGGTCCTGGATCTCCTGCAGGGCCTCGTTCACCGGGAATCAAGTTTGGCAATCCCTTGAATCCTTTGTCACCTGGATCACCTGGTTTTCCACGTTGTCCTGTAAAAAGCAACGGGTAGGTGTGTTAATATTCAGTCGCACAGATTACTAAAGTCACTTTTTTTCCTAATGTCCACTCTGACTTCAACAGATGAAAGTAAATGCGCTGTTTATTCATGATATCTGCAGCGTGATTACGAGGCAACTGATAAATTACTAGTAAATGATTAACAGTTGAAATCAGCCACCTTATAAGTTTTTCGACAGTGGAAGCAACATTCTTATTGGCCACACATACTGCTCACTCACGTCATGCTTCATAAGTAGTTTTGCAAGCTCACAGTTATTTATCTATCAGTTTAATTAGAAGAGGAAATTCTGATCCTGTCTTTAGAAGGTATCTGTTGAAAGCGAATCATTTTTTTCCAAAAGTGGATTATGCGGCAGACAGATGCAAATAAAACGGAGGAAGAGTAGGTAAACAATCTAACTAAAATCTAAAATATATCGCATATTTGCCGAAAATTTGGATGAATGGAGTTTATTCATTCCTCTATCACAAAGCGTGAACCAACAGAAATGGAAAAATGTGGACTGCTGAATCCAGACACAATATTTCAATGGTGACGTGCTCTCTACGAAACCTAGGGGTCATGGATTTGCACTACTGAGGAGTCTCATACTAGTACGGAACAGCACTCTTTAGCTGATAATTTTTATACTTTTGAGCTGTAAGTTTGATTTTTCTCTCGTGTAACTGTCTACATTATGATTACTTCAGAACCGGATGTCTGTTGCTTTCATTCGACAGGTAACTTTACTAACCCATGGATTTGTTTTTTCAGAAGCTGCAGTCAAGATCTTATGATTAATAACATACTTTAATATCAATCGAAATCGAAATAAACTAAGTAACCTTGAGCACATTCATGTTTGACTGCCCAAACCGCGGTAGGTGGAGTAGGACTCGAACCAATAACCCACTGGTTGAAAGTCAGCTACCTAGACCAGTGAGCCACATTTCCATATCCTGATAACTATGATTCATGTTACATCATGTATAAGCCATTCGTAGGCGAAAAGAAAACTGCAAAACCCAGTTTCAATGGTCTCGTCAAGAGAAAGGATTTTAGTATGACCATTTAACTGGACTCTGCAGACTAATATGACTGGTTTTCGGCTACTCATATTTTACAGCACTGAGTTAATTACTACCTGCTTCCTGGACCACTCTTATAGGTGCCGTTCAGCAGTATTTAGGAAATTTCATCAGTTATTTCATGTGGGAAGTTGGATTTACATTAAACGCCACCCTAACAAAGACTGGAATAAATAAGTTGATTCTTTGGTTTACGAAGAAAACTAGCTTTCAAGGCGAAATGCAAAAAAATTAATTGATAATTTCAGCAGTCGTCCAAGGTCATATTGTTTTTGGCCGTTCTTGATTTTATTGCATTATCAGAATATGGACAAAAGACAGAGGCTTAATAAGCTGACTGGTCACAATTTCATGTTGTCTGGTCCTGAATGCCGAGTGTACGCCATCACTTTGGCGTCTCAATGACCACTGAATAAACATGGTGCGGAAAGCACAATATGAAGCTATTTGCAACTTCTTGAGATATTTCATCCATTCCTGATCGGGTCTGAATTGTAAGTTTCTGCTTAGAGAAATTGACAACGTCATTAGTGTATAAATGTTGAATAAAACCGTGAATTTCTATGACGGGTTTTAAATTATTGAGTGGTATTTTGAACTCACAACGATACAGTTAGGTTACATGTTCCCTACAAACAAGAAATTGCCCATCTCTGTCAATTATTGTGTTTAAATGACGCAGCAATGAACATTTATCAGTTAACCATGAAACTCTTGAATACTAATTGTATGCTTTCAAAAATACTATCATATGCAGCATTCCATGGGTTTAGACAATTGTTCAGTGCAGGTGAATACTCAAACAAGTTCGTTATGTGAAAAAACCATTAATCTGTTTGGCTTACAAACATATTACAATTTACTGAAGTAATTCTTCCCGATGTCTGGCGTAGAAATACACTAATTAAGAATGTCTCCACAAAACTAAAAGTATTTAAGTATAATTTTCATAGTGTTATTGCTTGTATTAAACCGTCGTTGATTGGACCGAACTGATCAGTCTTTGTTGGCATTTGGGCTCCTATGCAGATGCCTCAATATTGCCTGTGCTTTAATTACGTATAGTAATGACGAGTTCCAAATGGGACGAAACGCGCATCCTGGATTCCACTACGCATCATTACTATACATAATTTTTAAAGTTTAAAAAAATATTATTTAAAGAGCTCAGCATCGTGAGAAAAAATTTACCTGGTAAACCTGGAATACCAGGTTCCCCCATAAATCCAGGAGAACCTGGATCACCACGAACACCTTTCTGTGCACGATCTGACCGACCAGGGAAACCCTTTGCACCCATTCGACCAGGAGATCCAGGAGGACCTAAACAGAAAAAGGCGCTGTAGGTTTTGATAAAGATGTCCATTTTACTCGAACAGCGGTTAACATGTAATCCACTGAAACTAAGAGAATTTCGGTCATATATACAAATTTATTTACCTTGAAATCCTAAGCTGCCTTTCATTCCTGGAAAACCAGGATTTCCTGGGATACCACGAGCTCCATCCAAGCCTGGAAGACCATCTTTTCCTGGAAGTCCAGGACTTCCGCGGAAACCAAGTCTTCCAGCTGCTCCATCCTGTCCTGTAGTTCCCGGAAAACCTCTGTCGCCAGGATCTCCTTGGATACCACGGAATCCTGGGTCTCCAGGTAGTCCCGGTCGCCCTTTCTCGCTCATAGGTCCAGGTAATCCAGGCTCACCGATTGCACCTGAGGGAAGAAAAGAACATGTATTTCAGTACTGGCGCGCGGTCTTTGAAATGAGATGTCTGCATCAAATCTGATGCGTATCAACATATCTAAGAATAAGTGAGACAACAAATAACTAAAGAGAGTGATAATATGGTTCTCATACTAATCAATGGTTAAATTCAAGTATTCCATGGACCCCGTTATATTCAGTCAAACTGTCAATTCTAATGAAAGGTAACCGACATTTTAACCTAACAAAATACAGACCCTATTGTTGATCTTAATGTTCCACTTACTGGAGAAGTGATATGAGAGCGTAAATCAGGATCTCACAAATTTTCTTGCAAGAACTATTATTCAGTTGTCTAACGAATTTGAATTTTAAGTTGAGCCGTCAGCTTTACGAAGAAATAGATGGAAGTGAGATGGGTTACTTCACAATTAACTGTCTTCTATCCGGTCAAATGAGAAACCCGTAATTACACTAGATTATCCTTAAGTTTACATATTACTGCCAGTGTGTACTGGACAGAAAAAGGATAGTTCTCTTCTAATAGCCGAGGGATTATATACCCACAAAAATTATTGTAAATAATGGCCTTGTAGTGGGTTTTTTTCAACTTGGCATGTGCCGATTTCGACTGTTGAAACCGAGTCGTTCATCTTAATCATTTTAAGACACGATTTTTCATACCGCCTAGTAACGTATGAATGCAGTTATAAACAGGAATAAAATTGGAAAGGAAGACTTGATATCAAACTTCTTCAGTCATCTTACAGTAGTTTCCACCACGGACTGACATTAGTTAAACAGCCATTGAGGGACTTCAAGCATTGGATATATATTTCATCCTAGTATTGGACTCTTCTTAACAAACCACAAATTGAATAACTTTTCAGTGCCTGTTAGTGACAGTGACAGTGAATCGGTAACCATGAAACGAATAAAACTAAACTTATGTGATATGAAAGAAACAGTCTTCAGTCTTTTGTGTTGCTGACAATCATTATGTTTCCATCAGTTGAAGGACCAAACTGACAGAAGTAGGAGTATTTATAGCCAAGCGGTAACCGGTTAGCTATGGGACTTGAAGATCCTGGGTTCAATCCCTGGCGAAGTTGTGGGCACCCATTACTGAGGAATCTCACATTAGGACAAGACAGCTGTCCAGTGCTTCTAGATTTTCAATGGTCCTCCAAACGATGTCAGTCTGCAATGAATACAAACTTGAAGTCAGTAAATCCCCACAAACTTCCTAAGTGAATCGTCATGTTGATTACCGGTCATTGTCGAATCATGCATACTTCTGACCTAATCATTTGAATTCTACTCATCTTATTTTATTAGCTTTTACGTTGAAAACATTTGTCGCCCCTCTTATCCTACCTTTGCTCTAGAATATTCATCTAATCTTTCTATATATTGGTGAAGTGTCAATTCTTGCATACATATTCACTCAATTCGTGTCTTCAATCAAATCATATCAACGTTAATTTTTATTTCAAGTCAGTAATTTTCTATCAAATTGATTCAAGCATGCAAACATTTGTTTCAGTCGATGTCAAAGTTGTTTTAAGCTGTAAAGAGCCGATGAGAAAGCCCAAAATAAAAATGGATCCGCTAAGACTTTTGTTCTAGCTCTGTTTAAAAAAACTAAACGTCACGGTTTCAAACTTAACTTTTTAAAAATAAACAGTATCGACCACTTATGGTTTATTAATAAACATGCTGTCTAATATTTTCATAGAGGAACAACAAACGACACACATTCATAGCAACTTATGCACATATAACTACTTGGAATATCATTTTGACTATCTGAGTGAAATAGCTGTGGTTTGGCAGACTAGTATTGATACTTAGTGATGATTGAAGGTGAAATGAAAACTTGAGTTGAAGTGAACTCGACCCATCGACTACTGGATTCTCGGCCTGGAGCTCTACCAACTGAGCTACGACACCTGACTACTGACCAAATTTTTATTTCCCCTTGAATCATCATGCCCATCGCACTAGAAGTGGGAATCGTGACTCACTAGCCTAATGGATAATGTTTTAGAGTTTTAAGTGGCCGGTCCAGGGTTCGAATATTAGTGGGAACATCATCGCTTACTGGAAGGCAGGTACATTCAGCTAGAAAGTCCCAAGAAGGATGAGATGTGCGTCCTAGATTCCACTGTTAGTCACAATCCATCAATAATATACAATAGAAACAGAAACAATATGGAGGCATACACGTAGTAGTCTACATGCCAATAAGGACCGATCAGTTCTGTCTAATCAGCGACGAGATAATACAAATCACAACATAATCTTTTTATTTCCTTCACCAAAGGTACTTAGCATGACGAGGAAAGCTCTATGAGTAAACGATCAAGTTCAGCGGATTCAAACCTAAACATTAGTAGGTGTTGATTATCCATACGCAGAAAGAATCACGATCAGAATATAGTCAAAATACAAAACAAAGTCATAAAAGCAATGCAGTTTAGACTTACCTGGTATTCCATCAACGCCGGCGAAACCAATGTCACCTTTTGTACCAGGAAGAGGTTGGGGCGTAAAACCACGTTGACCTTTAGGTCCCGGTTGTCCAGATGGACCTGAAATTGTCGAATAAAGATTTGTGGTGACATTTCCACAACTGGATCTATTTATAAGTATGCATTGTTTCTCCAAGGATTTATAAACCCACCTCTATTTCCTTTCTCTCCATCTGGTCCTGGAAGACCAACTTCACCTGGCCTTCCACGTCTTCCAGGTTGTCCGGCAGCACAAAGTGGTGTTAAGCCTATGTCTCCTTTTTCTCCAAGCCATCCCTTTAGACCAAGTGGACCTTGGAAACCAGGACGACCGAAATCACCACGATCTCCTGGCTCACCTGGTCTGCCATAACGGCTTGGCAAGCCAGGATCACCGGGTAGTCCTTTGAAGCCAGGACTGCCAGGCGCTCCCCATGGTCCCGGGAGACCATCATCTCCTGGCTGACCAGGAGCTCCTAAAGGTCAAACGAGAAAATAAAGAAAGTTACTCATATCAATACTGACATTTATGTAAAAAGGAAACTATCCACTGGTTGATTCATTACTGAAGTTTTTAAAGCTGAAATTTAATATGAAAATTCTGTATTGAAAGTTCATCCTCAGTGAAAAAAGTTAGTCACTAATAAAATTAAGTAGTTTGAACACTGTATTTATTCTAATATAATTCTTAAAAATTCTTAACACTCCCAACAGAGGGTAGAAAGAAACATTATAATTCAGTGCACAAGTTAGTTGACCTGAGATACAATGAAGTACAGAAATTTTTTGCACCGTATGCATTCAATGAAATGAACAAGGGACTTCTACCAGCTGACTTACCTGAGAAGCCTTTATCTCCTATAGAACCAGGTAGACCAAACAACCCAGGAACTCCTGTAGAACCTTTTCTTCCTGGTCTGCCATTTATTAGCGGTGAGGGTGGTCCAGGATCACCAACTAATCCCCGTTCACCCTTTGCTCCTCGATCTCCGCTTGCGCCTTGAGAACCACTTCTGCCTTTGGTTCCAGGACTACCGGAAAGTCCATCAATTCCTGGGAATCCTGAAGGACCCGTTTCACCCTGGTGAAAGTGTGATAAATGTATTTATCTGTGATTGCAAAGGTAGCGCACTCATCAGAGGGTAATTTAAAAATCTAGAAAGATAGTGTTGAGCACGGAGAAGTGAACGACTAAACAAAAGTTCGGATGACTACCATGAAACATTTTACGTACCTATGAAAATATACTTCTGGCATTTGACATGCTTACCTTGAGTCCTATTCTTCCAGGAAAACCTCGTTCACCTTTTGCACCCGGTATGCCAGGAAATCCTGGTCTTCCTGAATCCCCTGGAGAACCAAACAGTCCAGGTGGACCCTCCTTCCTGGAAGTCCTTTTATTTGTATCCCAGGAATTCCAGGTTTGCCATTTTTACCATCAATTCCACGAATACCTTTTTCTCCGCGCAAACCTTGGATTCCCATTGGTCCCCTTTCACCCGTAATACCGGGAACCAGTCTTGCAGATATTCCGGGTGAACCTCTAGGTCCTGACCTCCCGATAGGACCTGGTCTTCCTGAAAAAGCGATTAAAACATTTTTAACTTCCTTCCTTCTGGGGTTTAAAATATAACGTTTATTTTCTAAGGATCAAAAACTAGGAAAATATCAGAAAAGAGTTTTCTACGTAACCTATAACTCATACAGACTACAATTGATTCCTCAACAATAACTTAAGACACCTACCTTGCAAACCAGGATTTCCAGGTTGACCTATTCTTCCAGCACTTCCTTTTGGTCCAAGTGATCCTGCCCATCCACTTCGTCCTTTTGATCCACGGATTCCACTCCTTCCAGGCAATCCACTAAAACCTCGTTCACCTTTTGGTCCAGGTCTTCCAACTGGTCCTTCAAATCCCATTTCACCAGGTTCACCAGGGGTACCTGGAATTCCTGGTTGTCCTCTACGACCTGTACGGCCAACTGAACCAGGATCCCCAGATAAACCCTTGATATCACAAACTCCTGGTTGTCCACGTGTTCCTTTCGGACCATAAGATCCTGATGTGTTAATGTAAAAGAAAATTAATCTAGATGATATGTCTTTATGGATTTTAAAACTATTCAAAAGAATTTGTCGGTACTTATAATTTCCCGTCCCTATACTAGACTAAATCGTTCAACCTCTGTTGGCAGATTAGCTCCTGTGCGGATGCATAGGGACTGTCTGAATATCAAATATTAATCTTTATAATTTAAAACAGTTACTTATGAAATGAAATCTGATTAGTTCTTTACGTCAGTAAGTCCTCAACAACTTTAGTCACGACACTTGGCAAGACGAACTAAATTTTCTTCCGAATACCTTGACGGGTAAATTAGTAACCTCCACATTTCATTGTTGGAACATTAAAACTGAGATCAGCTAACTGTTTTACTAATTTGGTCTTCGAAAGACTTCTCTTTAAGATTATACAATTCAATGAAGATTCATCAGCAGATACATTATGGGATCGTCTGGCATGTTTACTGTGAAGGATCCTGTAGTCTACTAAATCCAACTTTTTCAACTCATTCAGTTACGTGTGAAGAATGTGCTGCCTCACTTCACCACCTTCACGTGTGTCTGTCAATTGACCTACTCCTGTGGAGTAAGACATTTTGGCCACACTCAGTAATCACTTTCCAAACATATCTTCAAGCATATATCTGCCCTGTACTTCACAGGTCAATCTCCAAATAACTGACTGATTCTGACCACCTGGTGAATATAAAAGGCAACTCCAGCATGATCCACAGAGTTCACACAAACATCAGAGGAAGTGTACTTTACTTGGTTTTGGCTAGTAGAAGAATCTAGGATGCGCGTTTCGTCTTATTTGGGACTCATCGTCTGGGTGTACCTGCACCCCAGTGAGTGATGTTGTCCCCACCGAGACTCAAACTTCGTACCCATCGCTTTAGAGGTGTACGGCTGAAATCTCTTGGGAATGGAAAAGCCATGACAGTTCATATTTTGAAGCCTGAAATTTACACTTTACAATGAATCTGACCTATAAGAACACTTTACTTTCAGAATCTTTTTATTCTTTCTGCTGTCACAATATAATACCTCAAATATCACATTCTTTCAGTTCTGAAGTTTTGATTTCTGGTTATATTCACTGATCCCTTGAGTTATACTACTTTATTTAACTTAGTATCTTGAGATTTATTCGGTCTTGATAAATCTTCTTTTGATTACTATTTTATGTATTGTCTTCTAATTAAAGCTGGATTTTGTTAAAGACGTTGTATGAAACATTCCTTTACCGTTGCCAATTCAATGCAATGTTTATGTACAACTGTACAGCTTGAGAATGGTATTGGTAGAAAGAAGAAATCTTCGCTCAATATCATTCATCCTATGTAATGGTCTTAATTCTCTTATGGAATAATCCTGTAGTCCATTTCCTTAAGGTGTTTACATATGTGTTTGTATACAGTTGCTTCTCCAGTCACTCAAAGATAACTCTCACTACCCTTGATTTCATTATTGGATAAAACGTTCTCAATGAATAAATATATGACCTCACATACACATACGTGGGTTCGTATAATCAGCGGAAAGTGATGCAATTATAAATGCAGTACTGGGCTTAACATCAGATAATCGACTAATTATCTTTTAGCACGATCATTTTCGCAGCAAAACACGGTCTTTTAATAAGTGTATCAATCCTGTAATCTACATACAGTTTTATTCACTCAACCCACCGCTTTTTGACAATTCTGTATACCAATGTTTCTGATTAAAATAAGAAGTCTTTTCTGTGCGACGAATGCATATCACATTTGGAAGTGAATTAGATATATAAATTTTTAAAAATTTTACCAAAAATATTTTCATCTCATTTCCGTTTGCATATTACTTATTGCATTCTCAAGAATATTTCTTACCAGGTAAACCAGGCCTTCCTTTAATGCCGATCCCACCGATTTCTGCACGAATGCTAGGTAAGCCTTTAGGACCTCTAAAGCCTTTTGATCCTGGATATCCTTTTGGACCATATGACCCATCCACTCCTCTTGAACCTGCCAAAATAAAAACAGGTAAAAGCGGTATGATATGAAACTTCCAACTTGATGGATGCTAAAATTGAACAAAATATCTTATTACTGTGGATATATGAGTTGACTTGCCTGCTCTTCCAGGGAATCCTTTAATTCCTGGTATTCCAGCATTTCCTGGTAAGCCAATCGGTCCAGGAATACCTGGAGTACCTTTTTCGCCTTTGGTTACATATGAAGTTCTGCCAAAATCTCCTTGTTCACCGGTTAAGCCTATTAAAATTTTGAGTAAAAAAACAAACAATAAGACGCTTTTAAATTATATTCATCCTTTTTCAACGTTTTCATGACTCTAAAAAATGCACTTGGGATATTATAGTTCTGAGGTTGTTAACTTGGCTGAAGAAATAAGTGTTGTTTACCTTTCAAACCTTTAGGACCTGGAGGCCCCTGGAATCCAGGTTCCCCCCTTGAACCATCGTTTCCCCGAAGACCGATTGAACCAGGAAAACCAGGTCTTCCAACTGGCCCAGGAAAACCTCTTTCACCCTTAGCACCAAATAATCCTGAACGACCATCATCACCAGGAACACCTCGAACTCCAGGTAGACCAGTGGTACCTGAGGAATAAAATGTGTAAAGAGAAAAATTAGGAATGTTAATCACTTCAAGCTAAAACCTGTATGGCTTTTAAGTTTACACTAGTACCACTTCAAATACTGGATATTATAATTATTGTTACATGATAGCTTTCCTCGTTGCCTTCATTATATCAAGCAAAATTACCGCAATTTAAAAGTCGAAACGCATCAAACGTTACTGTGCTCACTTTCAGATTTCAGTTTAATCAAGTAGATAAGATTTAGCTTTGATGGCTTACCAATCAGCTAATTAATAAGCATTATCCTCACAAGTCGACATCTAAGTTGTTTTGTCCCTACTGCATCAGAATAAGTGGAGAAATTGAAGTCAATGGTTGCTAGTGAATCTTAAAACTGTTTCCAAAGGTAAGCAATGTTTTATCCCTTTCTAAAACTATAACATCTCATATTCTGCACTCATTTTCTTCGTTCTGTAGCTGACTTCTTCCTTCTTCTTTCTCTTTCACATCATTTTACTTCCTTCATTTTTTTCGTCACAATTTTACAACCTCACTTTGCAAGTATTAAGTATCACATTTTGGTCTTATATGAAAGTGGAACAGGTCGCATGGCGTTTATGTTTACCTATCCTTCCATACAATGGCAATAACTATCGTCAGGAGACAATCTCACATACAAAAATCATCCCTATGACTTTGGTAAGTATTTAACGAGTTGCAGAATAATATATGTCACTGTAATGTTTGAAGCCAGGTAAAAAAATTCCCAGAACATTCTATCTAACCATTTCAACTCTTCAAAGCAACTGGTCCCTTTGATAAATTTAAACAGCGTAATGAGAAGACGAACATATACTAGAAACTTACCCTAGGATAGACATGGAAAGAGTCTTTAAAGCACCACATAGAAGTGGTCAGAGCAGAGTGCTTAAATTTATTGAGGCTCTTGCCATCCGTAAATTCAAACCCCCTTTTATGTATACAAAAACAATTTGTACTCACGGTGAATCTACCTTGGTAGTACTGATTTTAATTTTCATACCAACAGTAACTCTTTTTTCCCCTCCCTTCCTATTCCTATGTTTCCTATTAACTTCACTGACCATTTTCGTAAATTTTCCCATAAATAATTCGACAAGTTTATGTATGACCAGATTGTTTGAAATATATAACACATATTTCAGATAATCTTCGTCTTCTCATTACGCCATTTCAACTCTGTTAGTCTTCAAAGCCTATGATGTTCAGTATCATAAAATAAGACCCAGGCTTCATTCATCTGTGTCCATGTAAAATTTCTTCAAAATCTAAAGTCTGAAGTATCTGCTTACAAAAACCAGCTGTCGAAAAAAACAAGAACTGAATAAAACATTACTTTCGAAAATAGTAGCTAAAAAACAGTAAAATATAACTTTTAAAAACTTTTCACTATTTTAATTAACAGAATATGAGAAATAAGTTTTTAACAACTTTCAAAGGATGGACAGAATTGTTGTTTTGTCTAAGTCTTTTTACTGGTTTATCCTAGGTTGTAATAACTTATTCTACAGATATTATCAAGAAATAGTTCTCACCTTTCAGTCCACTTCTTCCTTGGGATCCCTGTTCACCTGGTGGTCCAGGATCTCCAGGAAAACCACGATCACCTTCAATGCCTAGAAAATGGATCAAAGTATAAGTATTGTTTATATAGAAAACAGATTTCCTTTTGTCGATACCAGTCAATATACAAATTAATTTATTATATTTTTAATGATTTTTACTTGTATAACATCAGCAGTGCAATTCATGAGAAGGTAGACAAACATTTCATACTAATCTTCATCAACTGTATTCATAAAGCTTGAATATCAAGTGGGAGATTCAGCTATTACCTTTTGATAAGGTACCGAAATCTCTGATTAAACAGTGAATAGGCTAAATGGTGATTTTTTTTATCCAAGGGCGAATGTTTGTTTCACTACCAAAACACTGTTAACTTGGGTTCTGTGTATTAAATGACTTTGTGGTAGAAATTAGAAAAACATATAGTGGCAAAGTCGTAAAATGTCTACAGAATTACAAAACAAAGTGTTATGTTCACTCCGGGCTAACATCAGGAGTCACATATTAGGACGAACAGCTGTCTAGATTTGCAATAATTCTCCAAATTATGTCATCTCATGATGAATACAACCTTAGAAATAAAAATAAAATCATTTAAACCTCAGAGTAACTTAAAGTATAATGTATTCTCTTTGAAACAATATAATTAATACATACGATAAGACAGTTATTACAATAATATGAAGTACTGTTTAGTTACCCTTGGTTATTTGAGGACGAATTATTCCACAATACCCTTTAGTTCCAGATGCACCTTTAGAGCCACGAAGTCCAGGATAACCAGGTTCTCCAGGATCTCCAGTCTCACCGATAAACGCTCTACCATCAAGTCCAGGGTCACCTGGAAGGCCTATATCACCAGGATCACCTTCAGGTCCTGGTACACCTGGAATGCCTGGAAGACCCTGAACGTAAATAAAAACAAAGCATTATGACATTAAAACTAACTTATTCTAATTGGGCTACAATTCATATCCATAAATAATGAAAATTATCATTATTTACAAGTATCCTCCGTTTCCTAAGTGTTGAGTAGGTTATTAAAAAGTACTTTAATAACTAAACTTGAGCGCTTTATTATGAATTATGTATGGTGTTCTAGCAAGTTGTGAATGACCACTGCCTCTGCTAGGCCTGATTACTGTCGTTATAACATTGGGAGTTGTTTTCAGGATCACCCTGTGTAGTGAATCAACCACAGGTGGCAGCTATGTGACATTTGCTATCGTTACACTGACGGTGGTATTGGTTAAAAAGTTTCGAACTAAATAGCCAGTTCATTGTCATTATTGAACTAGAAATGCAGTTGATCATAAAAGTGTACCTACGTATCTCCGGTAATAGAAATTCATCTAAAGTGTCGTACATGCTTATTACGTACGATACTAAATGCAAACTTCTAAAGTACGCTCGGAATACCGTAAAACAGCTGATACTTTTCTAAAGATTTGGAAAAGCTTACTATTAACTAAATCTACTCACCAAATATTTTTTTAATCTCGATAAAGGGTACAAAAGATACCAGTTCTATAGGGATATTAAAAAAGAATTCTCAGCATCAGTCGGTATAACTTACCATACGGCCTTTGGGTCCAATATCACCATGAAGACCAAAGGAACCAGGATCACCAAGGTCACCTGCTTCTCCTTTCGCACCTGGAAAACCACTGTTACCTGGGTCACCTGGCAATACTTGCTGATTTGTAATTCTTATAACACCAGGTTCACCGTGATCTCCTTTAAAGCCTATTGGACCTGGAAACCCTGAAACACCCTGAAAAAGAACAAAATGAACAGAAATTGGATTATACAAACAAATGTTCCCTAGAAGATGCATGAATCATTCTTAACTGAAATAAACCTTCTAGAAGTAGGTTATTAACATTTAACGTTGCAAAGACGAAACTTTGCAATACTAGGATATGAACTCTGTCTTCCTATAGATTCTCGTAAGCTGATATTAAATTCAACTCGACACTGTAGATCATGATTTCACAGAAATCTAGACGGGAAACAAGATATTTACCATTGTAATCCCCTAAATGTCATTCTTTATCAATCTGTCAGTCGACAAATATGGTATCGCCATCAAAATTAATGGAATGTCAATGGAATACACTGATTGAACTTTTATGCTAAAACAAACCCAAATTACTATAAGTACAATATGCTAACCAACGTTACTAACCTCTCAGATAGCTTTTCCATAATTTTCCATGAAGATTAATATTATTTTAGGTTAAATAAAAATTTAGTCAACTAACCTTTTTGCCTGGAGGACCGGGTAAACCTGGGCGACCTGGATCACCAATATCTCCAAGTTCTCCATCCGGACCATCTGCTCCTGGCCTACCAGGTAAACCGCTTTCACCGACTTCACCACCATCTCCTGGACGTCCCATTTCGCCATCTTCGCAGAATGGACAAACTGCTACGCTTATACCTATTTAGACAATGATGAAAAGTAGGTAAGCAGTGTTGATTCAGAACAGAAATATTATTATGAGTAAAACTGTAGCGCTTCAGTGGAACATAATTCCATTTTAGTCGACTTAATAGATGTTAAAAAGTACTATTTATGAGGTCCAGTGAATAATACTAGTTCAGTTTTTATATATTTAATAAATCAGCTGAAACGGGACAGGAATATTCTTCACAAAATGACTGAGATTGTTGCACCTACTTAGTTTTGAACCGATAACCCAATGGATTTGCTCCTGACCTACAGTCATAATGTCATATATCTGGACTTCAGTCTACACATCAAGAATAGCATGGCATTATCATCTTATGTATTCAAATTAAGTAGAAGGCTTAAGCTCAACTGCATGAATTTATAGGTCCTCAATTTGAGACACTTTTATAATTTTCGTGTTATGCTGTTCACAAAGATCAAATATAAATAATATGTAGCACGAGTATACTCACCTTTTGGACCTCTAAAACCAGGACGACCAGCACTTCCAGGCCTACCCACCAAACCAGGATCTCCAGGTGGTCCACGAGGACCCACAGGTCCTTGTTCTCCTGTTCCAGGGAAACCTTTTTCTCCAGGATCTCCAGAATCACCAGGAATACCTTTCACACCAAATGAACCCGGAGGTCCAGGATTTCCACTTGGTCCTGGTAGTGCACTATCAATTACCGTACCAGGCTGCCCACGTAATCCAATGCTTCCAGGTAAACCGGGATTTCCCACTGGACCTCGGATACCAGGACTCCCTTGAAGGAAAAAAGTTTCAAAAACATGATTAAAATTTCCAAATTTAATAAGATTTGTTAAAGCATGCTGCATCAGCTGTAATCATAGGTGGACAGTAAGATTAGATGAGTCTTGAAAGACTAAGGGAAATAACTTGCTGTACATCAAATACCATTCTTCTCTATCTTATGCACAAATGGTCTTAAGGTATCGTCGATTATTTTAATAGGTGGTAAGCCTTCATAAATTCATCTATATATAGTTTACTGTGTGAAATACTGAGAGATATTCAGTATGAACATGTGCACTCCTCTGTTACATAATGGGGTTCACTAAAAATTGGTATGTCGCATATCAACAAATGAAACTGTTCGTGCACAGACAACCCTTGTAGTCATTTTTACTTGAATCATTGGTGTTAAGTCCCAGAACATCTATTAATCGTTCACACTTCGGGACGCTACTTACTTTGCTGAACAGATTTGTTCACTGAAGTCAGCAGTAAGCGTAGGGGATGTGACTGAAAAAGACTGAGTGTTAATTGCTGGGAATATTAACGAAATTAGGAGTGTGATGATTTCAAGAAATTCGTCTTTACAGCATAAGGAAGTTTCATAACAAGAAGGATATTTTATGAAACAGTGTGTTCCAACTTCAGTAAAAGCAGGAGTTCGAAGGAATCCGGATTTCTGATTGCCAACTTACTGAGACAATGTTAGGTCAGTTTTGATTGAATAGCATCTGAACTAGGCCTTTGCAGAATGTAAACAGTGCTATAAGATGCGTGATTCAGTAATCTGATCCATATCGCATGTTGGAATTCAGTCATATAAGTTTAGCCACAACAAATATACCGTAAATCGGTGATAGAAAGTTCCGAAATCTATGCTAAATTCCTATCATTGCGTAATCTCTAAATACACTGAACATAAAAAGTTCGACCTACCCATATTTCCTTTGGGTCCTGGCAGACCTGGTTGACCATCAACACACCCTCGACCTGGACGACCAAGTTCTCCTTTAACTCCCGTATCACCTTTATCTCCATCTATACCAAGAGGACCCTCTCTACCAGGTTCTCCAGAAATCCCTTTAATTCCAGAAAATCCTGGTAAACCCTTAATTCCTTTCGGTCCTGCACAGTGTACATAACCCTGAAATGAAGATTTATTGATATGGAGTACAATTAATTCAGCAGTACAACAGTTAACATTTCCAAATGATCATAGAATATAAGAGTAAAACTTGAGCACTGTATTAGACTGTAATTCCATTTTAGTCTGTTTATTAGAAATATCACACAGTGAAACAGTAGCATTTACTGGATAACATTTCGGACACAGTTCATTGTCTATATTCATACCAGTAACTCCACAACTTCAAGACAGAGTTTATTTAGTCCTAATTTTCTCTCCTTCTCTGTGATGACAAGGGTAGTAGAATTTTCCATACATCTGGGACAGGTGCAGAATCATTTCGATTACATGTATTTGGTGTTGATTCGATAAACAAGGATTCGGTTATCAATCTCTCCCTCCACCCGCCCGACTAAGTTACGTCTGAATACTGTTGCTCTATCCTAATCTGTTGTGTGATTGTGTGTAATTGCTGGTCGAGCTTTTTTATAAATTTCTTATCTTATTAAAATCTACTAATCTTGGTTTAGGTGGGTTTTGGTTCTCTGTTATTCTAATTGATCCTGGTTGGCTGACTACTTTGACGCATATATTTGACTTCGCAATCATTGAAAGGATTTCGCTAAATTGTACGAAAAGGTTCTTTTAACCTACAGGGTTTGTTTCTAAGCGAGTTTGTTGGTTTAAATGCCATTTTAATCTCAGTCATCCTTATTGAGAATTCTTTGTAATGCTTCTGAGATGCCTTCCTTGTATGATAACACTGAAGAGGGATTCAATTCTTTCTCAACCCTGTTACCATTAATACTATTAGTAGTAGAATTACTATCAATAACACATATATTACTACAACCACTACTACTAGTACTACTATTAATATTTTTCTTTCGATTTCTTATGAATTTATTTACTAACTTAGGTGGGTAACTATTGAGACGCAAGGTATTCTTGATGTGTCTGATTTCTTGTCGTAGATTTTCTGGCCTACTAGTAAGCTTATTTTCCTTATCCCTTAGGCATTTAACTAAGCCTACTTTAACCGAGATGGGATGAGATAATTTGAACTCTAAGTAGCGATTCGAATGGGAAGGTTTCTTATAGACACTAGCCTCTAAGCTTCCGTCTTGTGTTTGTTTAATCTTGGAATCCAACATTGCTAGCTCACCTTCATCACTTTCTAAGCCAGAGGTAAATTGGATAGCATTATTCAGTAAATGATACTGTTTCATAATGTAACATTTCTGATAAGCAGACTGAAATGGAATCCAAAAATATGGAAGATTTAAAATTTTACCCACTTAACTGGTATGAGAGATGGTAAGTTTGATGAATAAACTAAGAAAAACAAAATTTATCCACCAATTAGATAGACTGGCTATTTATATTTAAGTTCTGAAACTGCTTCAGAAGCTTAAGAGAAGAGATGACTACAGAAATCATCTTGAATTCAATCTGTTTAGCAGGATGTGGCAAATGTTGTGTACGTGTGGATGAAGCATATGATTAAGGTAGCGTTTATATTTTTCAGTTAATTCACTCTTATTAGTGACCTAAACTATGAATTTCCTTTTATTATCATCTGACTGACAATAAGACTCACTTTTTTTCTAAAAGTAAAGTCTATTCTTATATAAAAATAATTAAATTGTATATGTTTTAGAATTGCTGCATTCAACTACTGTTGGACCATGAACATATATACAAGAACATCTTTTGTCTCTTTGTTTGTGAAAAAAAGTAAGATAGCAGCATTTTTACTGTACAGAAATTAAAAGACCACACGTATTCATTCAAATAAAAATCAATAGATAACATTTAACTGCTACTGTGATGTGAATTAGGTTGAGCTTTATTGACTCCAGGATAGTTGAGATTATTTTATACCACTGTAGTCTCAGGGATAGTTATTGATGCTTTTACCATAACCTATATCGCAGTAACCGTTTTGTTAGATGCGATACATTACTGTATCTACTTCTGTTTATCAAAAATTAAACTGTTGGTATCTAATTAAACTCCGGAACTCAAGATAATATGATCATGTTATTTATTCAAATGTCTTTTTTGTTTTAATATGAGCATTTTACAGGTAGCTTACTCAGGTACAAACACACAAAATGGATTTAAATTAAATTTACCCCTGGTTTGCCTTTTAGACCTCTAGGACCACGTTCACCATCGACTCCAGGTGGCCCTGTATCGCCTTTTGGACCCCATTCACCTATTCGACCAGGTTCACCATCTAGACCTCGTTTACCCTAAAACATTAAAACAGTATAAGTTTATTTCCGAATAGAATAAATAAAGTGAGTTAAAGTGTCGATCGTATCACAAATCATTTTCAGTCGAACGTCACTGTTATGAAAATGATGAGTAGTGTCACAGATGAACCCAAAAATTTGCAAAATACACTTCCAAAGATCGAATGTAATAAATTAAGATTATTCGACAAGTAATAAGGCCCTAGAACTTTGAGTTACCACTCAGAGCTACATATGTTATACCTATAATCAAGGTGAGGGAAGTTTAACTATACAACAGTTCAATAGAGTCATCTAAACTTGAGCATACACTTATCACGCTTCTTGATCTGGTAAAATCATTCTAAGGATTTTTTAATTATCTGTCACTGAAATCACATAACCTTTTCGAAGCTCATCATATGACCACCAATCGCCATGTAATTATATCACGTTGTATTTTGTTGCTTTTATCTGCCCAAGTCTGTGTGTGAACACTTACACAAATTACTAACATGGCCTTTGAATAACTAGGAGTATCATATTACTGAACAATCAAAGCATCCTACCAATACACAGAGTGACCGTATATGTCTGTTAGATATTAAGTAAAAGGTATTCGAGTAGACGCAAAAAGACAGAGACGGCTGATATAAATATTCTCATTTAGTCATAAAAAATGGAAACTTTAGTGAACAAATTTTTGTTCGGTGACATCAACATCTGCGGCTGTACACTCGTATTTAAATAGTTACTGTGTATCAGAATATCAACATTTGCTAGCCAGTAATTCCTGGTGGTTTGTGGCCATGAAAACAACCTAGGGATGGAAATTGAGTAAGAGCTATGAACTGGGAAGTCTAGGGATTTAGAACGGAACAAAGATATGAGAGTGACAAAGTTGCTTTTAAATACAGAATTCCCGTTTCGAACGTTGTGTTTCTGGAGCTTCAGCAGAGCAAGGTAAACGATTCCTCATACCCTTCTCAAGATGATGTTATACTTTGTAGACTGATGCAAACTACTCCTCTGGAACTGTGTATGCTGCCAACCAAATTTTCTAATATACACATGTTGATTGGTCTACGTTAACTTTAACTGAGAGACGTCTGAAGGCACTGACGTCGATATTGGACAATCTTCCAATGCTTACTATCTTTGCAGGTAAAATTGATATATGGAGGCCGAAGTGACTAGGAGTGACAGTTTGTCCTTCACCGTTGAGGGGCTGGCGTAGGTAATTTGCAGAGCAGTTGGACAAAATGTTCTTTTGGCAGCTTTCATTAGTCTGCATCTTTTTATCTCTTTACTACATCTCTATTGAATTCCAAGCTCAAAACTAGCTTGTGATTCTCCACAGTAATAAAAGTTAGATGGGTAGCATTCCAATGTTGATTTCCATCTATGAATCTCTCTGGGTGTCCCTTTCTGATGAATATGGATCTTATAAATCGCATTTTGTCTTATAAAGTGTAGGGAGTACATATGTTCTGGAATCGAAGTGAAAAGGAATGAATTGATAAACGACTATTAAACTGAACATCACTTCTTCTCTTATATTTCAATATTCACCCTATAGGAGTCACCAAGTTCATCAAGATTTGTTGATACATTATGGGTATTAAATGAGTTCTCCATGGGGAATATTTCTCCCTATTACCACAAAGTAGCCATTTAAGCGAACAGAAATATCAACATCATAACGTTTTCCAGCAGACATATACCATATCTCTAAGAGATATGTCACCCATAATCAGAATAAAATCAATGATCAGTTTTGTTCTATATTTAATTAAATTTTCTTTATCGAAACGTCTGGAAGTAAGAACGATAACCAAAACACTCCTTTGACTTCAAAGGCTTGAAATTAGCAGTAAAGATGCAAAAAGTTATTTAAGATATTCATTCACTATATTGTGTCATGGGATATATGCTACTCTTTTAGCGAATATTAGTCTTCACATGTTAAGAGATTTCCAGTTGGAATGTGACATCAGATGATCGCAGTAGATGATAATATTTATTAAGGGCAAGAATTTCATCTGATTTAACTTACTGGTTCTCCTTGTGATCCTGGAAAGCCCGTATCTCCTGGTCGACCCTGAAACAGAAACAAAATGAAGAATAAGCATAGTATGACTGAACACCTAATAAACACCCCCCATTTATTACCAGATAGTCAATAACATAACTTAGCTGCATGCTTACAGGGTGGGGAACAATTCAGTGAGTAAGACTTCTCAAGGTATATTTAATTCTACAGTTCCTGCTGCCTTCCGCAATGAATACACTGTATGCAATGAAAGTTAGTTCATTCTTTTTCTTCGGTGAGTCATTCATTCTTTTCTCTTCCAGACTCTAGTGTTGGGTGTTAGCTATCATCGCCAAATTACCACTGTTCTTTTAGCCGTTCTTGTAACACTCTACAGAAAAACTAGACGAAAACTTACTTTCTCGCTCTTTCCGTAGCTAACACACTACTTCAGAAGGTCACTTACAGAACGAATAATGACTGTTCCGGAGTCAGCGTGAACTATCTGGTAAATAGGTTTCCTTCACTAAGTAATGTGCTCAAGACCTATGAACCATATATGGTATGAAATTATATGAAAATACCAAAAAGCGGCTTGCTTTCACATAGTTATTTCCTAGTAGTTAGAAACTCAATATTCGTCTGGAAAATGCATGTCGTTCATTCATATAAGGCAGTGTGTGATGTATTTCATCTGAGACTGCTAAACTCTTGCAGAACTCTTCCAGCGTTCCTCAGTTATGCTGCGATAGTCAGGATATGAGAACTTTCCGTTCTACCTCATCAACTTAGACGCATTGTAAGTCAGTGAGAATTTATGATGAGCGATAATCAGTCCCAAAAAAATATCTTGAATATCTGGTAAATTTTATTATTCGATTTACTGGTGCAAAACACTATTGTTGCAAGAAATCACCAACAAAATAACTTAATGGATTATTTTAGGTTGGAATTCGTCATGGACTAACAGTAGATGGAGGAACATTGAAAACCTGGGAGCACTGGACAGCTGTTTCATCCTAGTGTGGAACTCCTCGCCAGTGCGCACTCATGACCCACATCACCAGGGGTCGAACTCATGACCTTTAGGTTCCGTGGCCAGCACGTTACCATTGAGCCACTGACCAAGTCAAACAGGAGGACAGTTAATCAACGATGAAACTGGATGGAGATCGCAGTATATCATGAACTGACAGAAGTAGGAAATATAAACCATTGGATTTTGCCGAACCATTGGCTGAGTGGTAACGTGTTAGCCACGGAACCTGAGGGTCGCGGTATCGGTCCATGGTGGTGCGGGTGATGGATGTGCACTGCTGAGGAGTCACATACTAGAAAGAAACAGTTGTCCAGTGCTTTCACGTTTTCAATGTTCCTCCAACTGATATCAGTCCATGATAAATTCCCACCTAAAATGAATAAATAAACCTCCACACAGAAAGGGACTATTACCGAAGTGCATACAACATAATAGAAGTAGAATACACTATCACAACCCACATTTTAGTTAGATTATTTGAGACTTCCGAGCCATTGCAATTTACGGAAAAAAGCGATACAGTTACTAAATGCTTCTATGAGAAAGGTCATTAAATGAAGCTGATATGAAGCCACTTATAAGAGGAAATCATATGTTTTAGAAGATGCCAGTTTAGTCTAGCATCCTTTCGTGTTGAATTTGGTTCTGTTCTTCTGGAATAAACATCTCTGGGTGACGTACACTTTTACGTACTAGGATCCTGATGTCTGTGACAGTTATGCGAATGTTTTCCTATTTTCTGTGTAATGCAGTATCTTACATTTAAGTTCAGGTTGACAGAGTCATCTTTTACAAGATGCAATGTCTGATGATGTCAGTTTACTCGTCATTCTAAGTCATCCAGAAACATACTAATACAGAGCAACGTAAGTAGTTATAAACCATTCTGGCTGATCTGTAGATTTCACAAGGAGCCAGATCAAGGTCATCTAAATACCAGACAGCTAATCCGTTCCTTTTGGGCCGAGTTCATCGGCAATGTAATGCAAGTCATTTAGCCAGATCCACGTGACTTAAACTAATTCGGCTGGATGAACTGGATTTATTTAGGTAAATAGCCGGTGAGCTCGGTGTCCGGTGCTTAAGTCACTCTGATCTCTTTAACGAAATCTGCAGATCAGCTTGAGGGGTTTCTAGCTATTCAAAGTGACCTGCTTAGACACTGGGCTACCAGATATTTTCTACCGAATACCGTCAAATCCTTCCCTTTCAGTTCTTTTAATTTTCTAAATACATCTTTTAACAATATCATATACTGTGGTCTATTTTTAAAATGTTTCCATACTGTAGTTTTCTAAGCTGACAACAAAACAAAGGGAAAAGGTTACATCAGTAAGAAATGGATTTATAAATACACAAAAATAGGGCACATCATTGTTCTCAGGACACGTATGTCAAATTACAGATTTTTGTACTGGCTGTATAAACTATCACCACTAAAATGTCATCCAGTTTTTATCTACTTACCAGTCCAAGACAGACGTTAATGCTGAATAACTATTTCTTTTAAAAATAATGTACAGGGAATGAATTTTCCGAAATATTACTAGCTGAGAATTTCATGCTGTATTACATATATTGTTTGCAATAAAATTATTGTGATTACTATTAGTCCATGACACCTTGGGATGTTGACTGTTTTTCATCAGAAATCGTCTTGACATCGTAATCGGACAGTTGAAAAACTACTCAGCTGTGAAAAATATGAACTGTGGAATTTGTTAATCGTTTGCCAAACTGATCATCTAAAAACAGCATGAGAAACTAGTCGCTTTATCCATTTAGAAATTGACGTTTGTTTCAATTGAATCTAATAGTAGGTTACTGCTAGAATCGTGTCTACTTTCTTAGTGAGTAAAATTTAAAATCTTCTAAGTTAGTCAGATTTTTGCTCAGTACTCTATATGTGATTTTTGCAACATCATGAGATAGTGAGCCATTACCTGGTATTTCTTTGCTTCAAATTTAATGTTTTGTAGTTACGCAATCGTGAGATTTAGGAGGGATATTGGAATGAACAAAATACAGAACTATTACACACTCTTGAGCCTGTTCTCGCTTACTACTAAATAATTCTTTTACAGCATACCACTTATTTCAGTCAACATGTTTACCACTTATGAACAACCAACCAATGATCATTCATTGTGATCAAACCTACAACTTTAGCTGCTCATCCATATAGTTCATCTAAAGGTAAGATCTTGTACAATAGAATAAAAAAGGACATGGTTTCATTTAGAAGAAACTGTATGTACTCATCTCCTGAGAGCCTTCATTAAGACTGGGGGCATTAAATTTTACTTGGACTTTATAAGCTCATTTCCTGCGCATACACTTTTCGTCTTTATGAAAACAAAAATGAGCGCCTTATTATCACTACATAAAAGTAAAAACACTTCTGACCTCTTAGGGAAATGAGAAAGGGTAGCGAATCAATGTATAGCTTCAACGTATACATTTATACTGGGATAGTAAAATCGCATGTGGTCAATATTTCAGCAGCCACTGAATTATGATAAAAACTCTGAAATTAAACAATGATTACTAATAATAACTTTAAAATGTTCTACTGTAAAACATCAGAACTTTATGATTACTTTTGTAAAAATGATCAACATACTCTATCACCATGACGACCAGGAAGACCCTTTTCTCCAGGGACTCCAGGAGGTCCATCAAAGCCCTAAATGAAAACAGAAGAAATCAACTATTACTATGAAACTATATGATTTAAGAATCAGTATTGGCTAAAAAAAATGACTACTACTCTGATTGATATAGAATTTACACTCTGTCTAACTGCTCTCAATATCCCCTGACCATTGCTGGAAAATCTCAGAAAACCGAGGAGCAGTGAGTAATCTTTTCTTCCTCTTGAAAAATTCTCAACGAGTCCAAACACAGCTGTTTGAAGATAATCATGAACTTGATGAAAAATTTTCTAAAATCTATAAGTGAATTATTTATCTACAACAAATATGTCAGTAGTTAAACTGATCTATTAAATATATTCAAGAGAAAATGTGATTTCGCTAATCCTGCTCGAAAATGATTAACACAATTCCTACATAGAAAATATACAATCTTCAAAAATTACATGCATAAGTACAATTCCGCATAAGTATCTACTGTTAAAATGGTACTTTAATGAAGAGAAATAGCTGTTAAACTTACTGCTTCACCAAAGTCACCTATCAGTCCACGGTCGCCTTTATCACCTTTGAAACCCTATGGAAAGAAATATTTCACTTGGTTATTTTATATTCAGAATAAAGCTTTAAAGATATGACACGAACGTCCTAATAATTCAACTTACAACAGGACCTTGGGGACCTTGTGGTCCAATTTGAGCATGTATATCCAGTGTACAAGGATAACCATCTCTACCACGTGGACCACGCTGACCTTTATCACCTTTCTGACCTTCAATCGTGATAGGTGCTGCAGGACGCCCTTTTAAGCCTGTTGGACCTCGAATACCCTTAAATCCCTATAGAAAGAAAAACAAGCACTGTTTTAAGCATCAGACAATAATGTAGACAATTAAATACCGAAAAAAGAAGGAAATTACTTTAAGTCTTCTCATGTGTAGTGCATAAGTTATTGATTGGTAGTTGTACTGAATCATCTTTTTGTTATTTTACCGAAAACAATTCCTAGAGTTTTCCGTCTGAAAATCTCTCGTTATTGTTTATCCTAAATGTACATCTATAATTTGCAGAAATCTAGTTCCTTTTAATCTGGAGGTTTGTAGAGATTCATTCGTTGATTTCGGTTCAGAATTCATCATGGGAACCTGGGGTCACTGAACAGCTGTTTCGTCCTAGTATCGGACTTCACAGCAGTGCTCACCGACGACCCCGCTTCACCAGGGGTTGAACCACGAGCCTTTAAGTTCCGTGACCAGCAGGTCACCACTGAGTCAATCGACCGAATTTCCTGCTTCTGTCAGTTTACGATATAGTGCGACCGCCATCCAATGTCGTCGTTGAGTAACTGTCTTCCTGTTCAACCTGGTTGATTCTACTGGTTACCACTTCTTATTAAAACTTTGGGAATCATCTGTCAAAGCCAGTCACTGGTAAGTTCTAGATTTTTCTTCTAATTCTTATCTCTGATAGATACAATCAGTGACGCTAATTTTTTGTCACGTAGGAAATGTTAGCTTTAAAACTACGATGAATAGATAAAAACTGTAATCATTTCTTCCCAACAGCTGGAAAATTCTTATACATCTGGAAGCGTTAGCTGACCTCTACGCAGAGGGCTGACTTCCTAATAACTAAGTGAAAGCCATGAATACAACTTGCTCACTTCTTTATTCTAGGATGAGCAACAAAACATTTATGGAATCCTGCTTAACTAATTGGAATGACAAGTAGAAAAAGATTGATAGTCTAATCAGAAGCTCAATATACCCAGACTTATAGGAGACTGTAAAGGTTAATTAAATAAGAAGGACTCACTTTCAAACCCATTATACCACGATTTCCGGCGTCGCCTGCTGGACCAGGTTGACCCGGTAGACCCTAGGTTCAGGATGATAAAAAAGTAAAATTTAAGTTAAGTTTAGTTACATTCAGGGATAAAAAGTAGAATCAACACAAACCTATCTTCTACCAGACTCTACTTAATAATGATGAGTGGTGGCTAGCGGTAGAATCCAGGATAAACGTTCCGTCCCATTCGAGACTCATCAATCGAGATCAGTCATTTCTGTTTGAACAACAACGACGGAGAGTTATAAGCTATGATAAAAAATCCTACTTAACAATGTCTTCAACTTAAGAGGAATGTTTTTATTTAAAAAAATGAACTTTTAAATATTTTAGCTGGCAAAAATAATAATTTTACGGTCTTATAATACCTTTCATGTAATTAGATGAAGAAAATAACACAAATGTAATTTAACAAAAATGAACAGTAAGACAACCCAGTTGGTTTATAAATCTCCAGGCCACAAATTGTATGAATGACCTCCTTTCGCTTTCGTAAACATGCTGGGACTATACTGTAAAAAACATTACCTGTCTAGATTAAAGGTATTTCAAATTTAGATCAGTACACACAGAAGAAAATAAACTAGGGCTTGCATAGTCGATAGATTTCGTTAATGTAGCTGTGTGCTTCAAAAGTAAACAAACAAGTAAACATTGTAGTATGATAATCACTTCTATCATGCGAAAGTAGCTAAATAACCATAATAATTGATCAATAATAACCTTGTCAAAATGTAATTTATAATCATATAATGTAGACTTACGTAATCTCCCATTGGGCCAATATTTCCACGTTCTCCCTAGTTTAAAAAGGTCAAAAATACCAAGTAATGTTAGTTCATTCTGATTATGTTTATTCATTCTACAGAAACTACCTCACCTTTTATGGTAGATTCATTCGAATAAAATCAGCTGGGTAGAGAATGAAATTTATTAGATTGTAGACTTTCGAGGTATACTTACATAACTGACTTTAGAATATGCTGAAATTAATTCAGTTCTTTATAGGTTCATTTTCACCCTGGTTTGGTAGCAGTTTTTGTATGAACGAGATGACCCTGGAAACTATTCACTGTAAAGATCGCTATAATCTTCATTTCAGTTTTGCAGTTAATGTTTCACTCAGTGTCTTACAGATATGTGACAACAGGATCATATCAACTGCTCTGAAACACTTAACATGGAATGATATTTAATTACTTAATGTTAGATTCTTTACACAAAACTTATTCAGTTACTAAGTAAGCTGATTACTTCTTAATAAAATGCGCCAGTAGATACTTTACATCTTTGGACAATAAAAAGGAGACGTGGTACTTAAGAATACGAGTTAAACGCTCCCACTTATATTTAGACTATGATTAAAAACTTAGGCTATCCCAACTGAGTAAAGTGTATAGAAATGCATGATAGGAAGAACACTAAAATGTAAGAAGTTCATCCTATGAAAGGGAGGTAGACACAAGTCTCAGATTCCTGAATTCATGATTAAAATGAATATGAAATAAAAAAGGGACTGAACTTATCGTTTAATACGGACTACAATATTGTAGGAGTGTTAAAATAGAATCTCACACAATTCCCCCCCTCCCGCCCCATAAATTCTAGTAAAACGGAAACAACAAGTAGAATTAGAGAATCAGTCATTAGTTGGCGGCCTCCTTAATGAAAATCAACATTTTATATCATCAACCGCTAAGATACAAGTTTTGGGTTTAAACCTTTATTTCATGTTACTTTAAGGTAGGGAAAAACCTTATTGAACAGTTTTGTCCGGCCAGCTGACAAATTAAAACAAGCATCCAACTTTTGACCTAGTAGTTCTATCTGTTCATGAAAACTGTATATAAATGATGTATTTCTGTCGAGTAAAGTATTTTCCTTACAGTCCTAGGCCTGGTTTATGTTCTGAAAGAGAACCATCGCTATTCATGTCCAATCAAAGCGTCTCATCGCGTCATCATCACTGATATGTTTATTAATATCTCCACTCGGTCACTTCAGTCACCAATGTGTAATTTTTGTGGTTATCCAGCCCTTAGTCCTGAACGCTGATCAAAGTTGATTGATCAAATTTGTGATATGGCTCTTTTATTAAATGGAGTACCACAACCATTGATGAGATTGCTTTATTCGATGCCAGGAGTCAGTCAACAGAAAGCACTGTATCTCAGCATGAATATTTCGTCGTTAAACTCTTCGATTTCAACAAGAAAAAACTCATTTTCGCATGCCCTGCTGCTGAGTGCAAATCAGTACCAAACCACGGTCAAGAGATTCTTGTTGCTTAACATCTAACACCAAGGTTTGGATTCACTTTCCTTTCCTTAGTTCTCCCTAACACTGAACAATCTAAAATAGTTTTCATGGTAAAACATATCTAAATGTATACCGTTCATGAAATTAGCCAACTGAACAACAAACTGATGGCTTAAAGAGAAGTGAACATTAATGTTGAATAATACTCAAAATGGTGGAATGGATAAATAAGTTTACGTAATGATTAATAAGTTCCACTTTTGAGTTTCAGTGAATCCATTTCACAAAACGTCAGTGAAATTATTACCAATAAGAGAGGCGAAATGATAATTTTAAACTAATCAGAATAAATTGGGATGAAATAATAATGAGTGACTTTAAAGGTGACCTTAGCAACTAGTGAAACCACTGATCAGTGTTCGGTATTTCACTCTGAAAAGTACTTTTCCATAAAATAAAGGAATGTAATTGGCTATGTCATCAGTTGCTAAGATGGCAATTAAAGTCATTCAATTATTATTTATTTATTTTTTCCTTTGGGTTACTAGCGGAACATAGGGCTTCACTAGCACGTCTCCAGTGCACTCTCTTCTCTGCAGTCTTTTGGACCTGGCACCACGACTGCCCTTAAGCTTTCATTTCTTCCTCACACCATCTTCTCCATGTCAACCTCGCCTCCAACGCCCAACTCGTCGTTTCCCCTTCGGATTCCACTCCACGGTATGGCCTGGCCTGGCACGTGATGTCCCCAAATCGTCTTCCCAGTGTATCCCCAATCCAGTCCATCTCTACTCTCTTATGCATATTTGTTGGGCAATAGGTTTTGCCTCGTTGGTTCGTTGCGAGTCAGCTTGAGTTCCTTGTTGCTTATTCTTTCTGACCGTCCATCTGATCTTCAGTATCGAGTGAATGTAGATGGCAGCTGTTGATGAATGTCTGTAGTTTGTTAAGTCATCCAATAATAATAGTAAATGGCTATGCAGAAAATACTCATCGTGATGAACAGAGATAGTGACAACAATTTCATTCGAAATGCAAATAATTGATAAGAGTCATTTGAATTACATTGTCTCATCTTAGCAAAATGTAAAATTCAATCCCGTCTGTTCTCTACATAATTTAGATGATTTTGAGATGGTGAGATCATGTTTGTTACAGGGAAAATGACTAGTGACTACGTCGCTGAATACATTCGTGCCGATATATTTGAGTTGTATACTAAGTGATGGATACAAACTCCTTTTCCTCTGGTTTTCTAGTGTATTTGTTCAGTCATTTGTATAAGTTAGAAGATTAGCCATCGGAGAGAAAGTGAACAGAGAGCTCTTTCAATTTCCTGTTTTTTTGGCAAAAAGGATGTCATTCGGCAAATTGCTACTGATTCCAACTAGCAGATGAGGACTCCTCAGTACACCAATTGTTTAGCATTGAATTTTTCAAACGTTTTACCAAGTTGTATAAACGCAGGTTAGATAGATTTGATGTTGATAACAGAATAACTAGACTACTGGAATGTAATATCAACTAACCTAACCCTGTTCTAAGTGTCTAATCATTCAATGGATCTCCTTTACTAATATCAAGCTTACTTTAGCACTCTCTTCTTTCCTTCTATCATATTTACATAGATAACTTTTCATCATTTTTCCAAAAAATAGTAAAAATCCCACATATTGGACATAATTAACATAACCACTAACTAAACAGATAAATAAGATGGATAATTAACAAAATTAATTTTTCTGTCTTTTCTATCTTCATTTGAGAGATTTTCCCTGTTTTGCACTTACCAGTAAGCCATTTAGCTAAAATGTCTAGCATTAACTAACCAAGAGAAACAAGAGTTGAAAAAAAACACTGTCGGAAATAACTGATTTCTATAAAAACAAAAGTCTAAAAATAAAAACCGAAGAAAAATCAAGGTTGCCGATGGTAAGGTAGTCATCATTTTTGCATAGTAGGAAAATATTTTAGAAAATCTCTTAAATGTAGTAGTGATGGATAGTGGTTAGTAGTGGGATCCAGGATGCGCATTTCGTCCTATTCGGGACTCGTCAGCTGGATATACCCGGCTCCTAGTGAGTGATGCTGTTCCCACTGGGAGGCAAGTACATTCAGGTGACGAGTCCCGAATACGACGAAATGCGCATAGTGGATTTCACTGCTAGCCACTATCCACCATTACTATGTATAATTATAATTAAAACACGGACAATATCGAGGTATCTGCACACGAACCGACATGCCAATAGAGACCGATCAACTCAGTATAATCAACGACGGTATAATACAAGCGATTATACTAATCTCTTAAATGGTTGGTTATTTTGTGATAAAACAAATTTCTATGTAAAGATGGTGGATTTAAGAGAATCGACAAATCGATGATCAGGTGAATCAGGCTTGAGTGGTGAGTGAAACAAGTTGAATAAAGAAGAGATGTTCGCGGAACTCTATTTCATTGGTCGAAAAGACATGTCTGAAACTTTAAGAGAAGCGTTCATTCACTTCAGATTTGAGCTCTCACCCGTAGACATTACCACTCGTTATATTGATAGCAACTACACTTATGTGGGTTTGGATGGGTAAACAAACCAATCACTGAATGTAGACCAGTCTTATTAAGCCTTGTTCAGCCTGCAAAGTCTGTTTCGAGTTGGTATTTATCACTGACTGACATCACTTGGAGAACTATCGAAAATCTTGAAGAGCTGGTCAGCTGTGTCGCCCCAGTACTGGACTTCTCAGTAGTGCATACCCATGCTCTTGTAGGGGTTCGAATGCGGGATGTTTAGTTTCCACCATGAACACCTTACCATTCAGTCACTGAAGTAGATGGAACACAGTGATTTACATTTTTTTTACTTCCGTCAGTTTGCTACATAGCTCGACCTTCCATCAATGCCGTCATAAATTACGTATACAAAGTGAAAATCAATAAAATCCCTAGAAACTTAGGGGAAGAAAATATCTTTTTAAACGTTGGTAGAATTGTTATATGATAAGTTAATTCTTACAGGGAATCCTCGCAAGCCTGTTTCGCTCCAGCCTGAAGGCCCCTTAGGACCTTTAGCACCAGGAAGTCCAGGTAGCCCTTTAACTCCTGGTCTTCCGGAATCCCCAGGTAGTCCGTTTTCTCCCTGCAAAAGAACAAAAAAAGAAGAAAATTTATTGTCTGATAAAAACCAAAATCATCATAACTTAATTGGCATAAGCTGAGCTAAATGAGGAAGTGGAAGAGAGAAGTGAACAACGGTGTATCTATAACCATTAGAAAAGTGTTGTTTCCATTGAAATTCTTTGGGGCCAGAAGTATGCATAAAGTCTGCCACATAGGAACTAGAACAACAGCTAAATCATGACACTTTCTAACTCTCCTAGAGATTCTGGTGCCATCAAAAAACAACTGCGCTCATCAGTATTCATCTGATAGGGTATTTGCTCAAGTCTACCGATAGTCATCACTCCCCTAGAGTCAGCTATCTGCTAAATACATCCGAGCGTCTTATCCATACACTTGTAATGGAGACTGAAGTCAATGTCATCCATATCCACAGGCTGGATTAGATGCTTCGATTTCAGAATTCCATTACTAGCCAATATAGGTAAATTTTAGCCATATCAATATTCCAGTTCTCACGTTACGTAGACACAGGTTCCTTACTGCTAAAGACTTCTTCATGTGAGACTATGGAAGTGTTATTGATTCACAACATCCAAACCATACAGAACTATTAATGAAACACCGAAATTCATGTCGGGTTTTGTTTCTAGCTCAGTTGGTAGGACACGTGGCCAGTCACCCATGGGTTTCTGGCACCTTTGATCATCACTTAATATCTCTAGCATAAGTCTGCCACACTATGAGCATCACAGACTGTCAAACTAAAATACCGAATATTTCTGTACTGATATTCCAAGTTCACCGTAAAGCATTGACTCATTAATCCAATGGTACCATAAAAGAACTGATCACAACAAACGGTATAATCCTATTTTTCAAACACAATGAAATATTTTACCTTTTGAGGTCTTTCATTCCCCCAGTGTTTAAACTAGTAGATTTCCTCATTAAAAATCACAGAGTAAATGATTTCTGTTGGTACCTATAATTTCGAGTAAGTTGTGTGCAACATTTCAAATCAGAAGTAATGCTATGCGCTATCTGCGCCGTGTTAATTATGAAAAAGACCAGAGCCACAGGTATTTTTATGATAGATGTTTAACCTACTGTGAGTAGTATAAAACAAAAGATAAATATTATGATATATCGGGAAGTTGAACTAAACACTTTATGTATTCGTTTCAACATTTAACTTATCTCATAGTCACTTCACTGCCAAATATGCTTATATTGCAGGAATCTCAAACTTCTTTCTAGCACTCGTATCAAAAGGTGATAGTCTTCAGAAAGAAAATGCTTCAGTTCATATAATTTTCACTATACTTCAATATAAAGGTCTTAAGATGATAAAAAAGATTTTATTAACGGAACAATTTTCCATTTATCATCTATTTTATAGTCTTATGGCTTTAAATTTCAAAAACGCAATAATTGTTACATTCAAACATTTTATCTAACGAATAGAAATGGCCGTCAAGCAGATTCCACTCAATGGTCTCATTGAAGCGAATTAACGCAGACGAAAACAGTAACGTTTAATTTCAAACCGATATACCTTCATCACTCTGTCAAGTTTTATGCATAAGACCATTGGTATGAAGATAGCATCAATTGATTTAAGCTTTTATAATTTTTACGTACCAACATTTTGGTTATAAAATATAAGATATTACTTACGGGATCACCGTAACAACCAGCATCCCCTTTATCTCCTTTGGCACCCATGAAACCAGGATAGCCCTGAAAAGTTAAATTTAAAATCCTTGTATATTCATAAATATTGTATAAATAAGACATAAATAGTGCCCAATATTGTTTTGAAACGACCACCAACAAGGCCAATTTAAGAAGATAGAGACGTTGAGGAATAATACAAAATATTTATCCAAATATATTACTCTAGGATTACATAAGTGGAATACAGCTTATACGATAAGTCTACAAATAATTAATTAGTCAATTTACTTACGCATTTAGACTGTACATTTCTTAATGAAACGTCAACCGCCAATCTATGAAAATACTACTTTGGCAAACTATATGAGCCTCATTTGTTACAAGATACAACGGTATATAAATAACCAGCACAAATTTATGTATTGATATCTTCGCTTCCATGTCGAGTGATTCACAATGGAAAGCTCAATGTTGCCTTTGAAGCTATGTGATGGTAGGAGTAAAGCAAGGTTGCCTGCTACCACCGACGATCTTCCTGACTGCGGTCGACTGGAGTAGATCATGCAACGAACTGTGAAGAGCGAGAAGATGTGCGAATGCTAGCTGGACCGATGAAAATACCCTGGAAGATTTGAATCTCAGCGATGATGATCTATGTTTAATGTTGCACAGGCTCGAAGATCCATTGGCAAAAACTAACAAGTTGGCAGAAGAGGCGATGCAGCGAAGGAAGACGGGGATTCCTTCAGGTGAACCTATAGAAGACAGAGGTGATGAAGATACCCAACCAACAACATCAACAACAAACACCAATCACCGTCAAAGGGAGAAACCTAAAGGAAGTAGTCCCCTTCACCTATCTACCTAGGCAACATCGTTTCAACTACAAGCGGTGGCACAGATGATGTCAAAGCCTGGATCAGAAAGACAACGAGACAGATCTTTATTATTCTGAAATAATCAGTGTGGAGATCTACTGCACAACACTCCACTCCACTCAGCAAAAAGCATGAACAAGATCCGGATTTTTAACATTAACGTCAAGTCACTGGTTCTGTGTGGTTCAGGAACTTGTTACGTTAAATAAAGCAGACATACATGAACAGCTTTCGCCTACGCTTCCTGGATACTGAAGATGGAGATCAGATAGCCAGGAATTATAGGCAACAAGGAACTTTGGCTGGCCCCGCAAAGAACCAAACAAACACCTTCCGCCCAACAAATATGAGGAAGAAAATGGAGATGGATTGGATTCGGCATACACTGAGAAGACCATCTGAGGACACCGCAAGTGGAGCCCAAACGGGAAACAACGAGTTGGAAGTCCGACGGTGACATGGAGGAGATCATATGAGGAAGAAATGGAAAGTTATAGGCAGTCGTGGAGTCAGGTTAAGAAAACTGCAGGGAAGAGAGTGAAGTGGCTACTTGCCACTGAAGCTGTTTGTTCCACTAGGAACCGAAGGGAAAAATAATAATAAATCTCTGCTTCATAACTACATTGGTATATTTGAATTTTCAATGTTAGTGAACAAGTGGTGTGTTGATGTGATGCAGAAATAATTGCATTAATACACAGATATTATTAAACTTTGCATAATTAAAGAATAGTTTTGTTTACTTACATCAAATCCATGCTGACCAGGATAACCAGGAGGTCCTTGTGAGCCCTAAAAAGAAATCAATCAGAAGTGCATGAACAGATTGGTGCAGCTGATGAAGATATCAATATAGATGATAAGAAGGCAAGTATGAAACTGTGTTTTCAAAAACAAACTGACAACCAATCGCATCTGCTTTTCTGCTGAAATTACCAAGATGAAGTATAATGGATTTGTGTTTCTCTTTTACACTTTAGCTTACTACTTAATTTTCTTTCATCTTGAAATAAACTGAAATTAGATCATCACACACTTGATCCTACTGTCATCAGAGTAAGTCAGTCGGCGTCTGACATCACAAGATCTTTTGATAAGAATTTCCATACTGTTAATGAACAAATGTGAACAATAAAGATTTCAGCCCATGTTTATGTTGCACTTTCAGATCAACTGAACACCTAAAAGAGATCATGTAAGGAAATTGCAAGAAAGGTAATCATCTTAAATAGGAATCGAAGGATAGGAAAACAGGTAGATTTTGTAAACGAATACTAAGTTGAAACTTCTCAGTAGTAAAATCTAACATTCCCTTCTAATTACTTGAAACATCTAGTTGAAAGATGTAGTTGACTGACACGTTTCAAAACTCATATCGTAAGACTCTCCTCTGTAGTCAGTAATTGGTGTTTTACACTGGCCGTTTATCTAACTTCACCAAATTCATGGATCCATTGGCTTTTACACAATGTAAGTACAGAGGATTAAAAATTTTACGTATAAAAACAGATCCACCAAAAGCAGAACTATTCAAAGATTGAAGTTTACAGTTATATGATCCAGGAAAGACAACTTCCACGAGAAGTATCCGATTTATTAGATCGTAACTGAAGCTTAGATATAAATATCACTTTTGGACAGAAAAAAACACTTTGAAAGCTTTAAAGGCGATAAAAGTGAATACTTTGCGGTAATTCATCCTTCAGGTGATTTATTTATTGAGAAGAAGCAATCTAAGCACACCTTTAATTAAATATACATCACCGAAATGAAAGAAATCAATGGGTTTACAGAAACGTTCCATCTCTCATCTCGTTGTATGATGGATTGTCTTACCGTTTCTCGTAAAAAAAACAGTTCCGTTATTATGGTTGAATTTAAAGACAAACTAAGATAAATAAGTAACTATCAAATTGCGATTTTGAGAATAAATGTCATATGTTACAAGTTGGTATTCATCACAAGCTGACATCAATTTAGAAAACTATTGAAAAACTGGGAGCACTGAACATTTGGTTCGTCCTAATGTGATACTCCTCAGAATTACGATCCCATGACCCTGTCATGGGTCAAATCCATAAACTTAAGGTTCTACTACCAGCGCGTTAGCATTGAGCCAATAGGTCGGAATCAAACAGCTGACATTTTCATACTTTAAGAAAAATCTGGGAAATGAAACCCTCTCATATACAATTTTTAGTTTAGGATTTTTTCCATGCTAATTTATGGATGTTTCCTTCAAAATACTTGATATATTTCTAGTTAGTTTGTCATGTTAAAATGTGACTAGTCGTCGTATCTACGAGAAACATACCTAAGCAAACATATAGATAGTAGTTAAACAGGATTTATAATATCCAGTAAATCAAGAAATAGCCTATTATCCTCGAATTCTGTTTCGCAGATAAATCTAACTAATATTCATGAAATGATAAAAGTATACAACATCTCACTGCCACACATGATTTTACCATACATAGAAGTATTAACGATATGAGAGCAGAAACTTCTCTGTCAAGTCAAACACTATTTCACTCGTACTATAAGATATCAGCATATCAGTTGACGAGAATAATGAAAGATGCCGAATGCAATGGCATCGAACTAACACAGAATAGTAAGCATACCCTACCTTTATATCAGATAATCGCTTATTTGAATATAGTAATCACCAGTTAAGTAATCATTTGGATTTCAGACTGTCGCCTATACTTACATATATCAAGTTGGTTGTTTCCACCAGTAGCCGTATTATTAGTAAAAACACCACCTCAACACAAAGTTGATGTTAAGGATTCAAAGATCCCATGGATTATTCAGAATAAGAATAATTTGAGTGAACAGTTGTCTTCAATAACTTCGTCTTCAGGCTCTACAGTTATAAATCCATGAGAATAAGTAAAATACAATAGCCAAAATAAGTCATGATGTACAATTTTATTGTATTGAGACAGTCAGTGTTATGGGTGAATGGAGATCAAATGGAATGGAATGGTGGATTTGTTATCAGTCTAGTGTGTTAGTTGTGCAATGAAATCAATATTGACAGAATAATTACGAAATGAAAGGAAAAAATAGTGGAGAATATTTGTAGCTCACGTGGATGGTCTTGGTTGTATTGTGTTCTCTGAGCTGATGATGTCTTCTAGACGGACGATGAAAGCTTCACGATTAAACCACCCAGCTTAGAGAACACAATACAACCAAGAAGAGACTAAATCTACGGATGATGATTCATTTATATACATTTATTAAGGCATGAATGTGTGTGTGTTTGCTTACTAAGGGTCAAATAATAATTATGTAGTGATGACTTGTATTCAGGTGGGATGAAAATCATGTGGATAGTATGACGAAATAAAGAATAACAAAGGTGAAGTATTACGTCGCGGTTGAAAATGACTACCGGTTGTGGTATGAATAAGGAAGGGTGTAAAACTAATGACATAAGAAAATGAGTGTTCATCAAAGTAATGACAATATAGAAGAAAGGAATGGGAGGTTAAAATGTGCGATTTATGGTAGGAAAGTTCATAAAGTTGTTGTGGGCCAAGGTAAACAAAGTGGATGTACATATTTCTTTTGAACACATAGGTCCAGTTTCCTTGCGTTGATCCCTATGGCTTTGGGTACGGATAAGATGCCATATCGTTCACCTTTAGGGAGATTGCAATGGAAACGGTATATCACAGAAAAGGCATGATCTACCTTAATCTGATGTCCGGTATCTACTAGGTGTGACAGGATCGGACTGTTGATGCTCTTTCTCATTCCCTTCTCCAACCAAGATGGCACCTGTCCAGGGACACGCACGGATAGAGCCCTCTGAGTACGACCTATATAACTAGCTCCAGAGGAGCAGCTGAACTCATAAATGCACACTGAAGTGGCCACCACGGGTAACCTATCCTTGGTGCGCTGTGTCAGTAATTGATTGGTTGAGAAGCTGATAAACAGTTTCGCTGCGCTGAATGTTTTTTCGACTTATCTACTTAATCGATGTGTTAAGATATCCGAGGCAACATCACCTTCGAAACTTAGTCTAAGATAAGATAGACATCTTAGCAACATTGTCTTTCTTTATCTTCTCTCTAGGTTTTGACATGTGTTTATTTATGAAGTTTTTAGCGGATAACCATTTTGTTACAATGTTATCTTCAGCTTATTCATTTCTTCAACACAGTCATCAGCACAAATGTTTCTTATTCTGTAACTCAGGCATTTATCTTTTATATTGAATCGGTGTGAAGCTATGAAAGTGAACATAACGACCAGTCTATGTGTTCTTTCGGAAAATATTTTTTTCAATATACCCATCTGTTTCCCTGGTTAGAAGGACATTCAACTTGATCTCCATTCACCCATAATACTGACTGTCTCAATACAGTAAAATTGTACATCATGACTTATTTTGGCTATTATATTTCACTTATTCTCATGGATTCATAACTGTACAGCCTGAAGAAGTAGTTATTGAAAACAATTGTTCGACAAAAGTTGATTTGTTAAAATTTATACAAAAACTTCTTTTAGACACAATGAACTGAACTATTCTCATCTAAATTGCAACTCATAGCTTTCCAGTACTTTTTCCAAAGAAATTAACATCACTTACACGTTCACCTTTAAATCCTTGTCTTCCAAGTTGTCCAGTGTTACCTTTTTCACCTTTTGTACCAGGATTACCTGGAGGTCCACGTTCACCAAATAAGCCATTTTCACCAGGTGCACCGATAGGTCCCGGAGGTCCCTTTTAATATGATATTATAAAGTGATTAAAATTAGTTATATGTTAGAAAAATGTTTTATATCGAAATAAAGATTAATTATTTTCACTTCAAATTATAGTGTTATTATTAATGGTTAAGCACAAATAACTTTAATCCTAAGAAACATTGCTTTCTCCACTTATCAGACGAAAAACTACTCTTTATTTCATCATGTTAAATTTAGTCAGATTTGTTTGTTAAAGTTTCTCTTTAGCATTATCGGCATTATTGCTCAACATATGCTATCACTTACTATAAATAACCGAAGATTCATTGGAAAAACTAGAGGATTATATAATAGAACTACAGTAGATAATAAATTCCCAATTCATGGAGTCCCCATGATAATTGTGTGTGGGAAATGTAATTTGGTTGACTCCATTGGTTCCCTGTGTAATCCATCTTACCACATTGAGTATAATGAAATTTAAAAAATCACTTCGACAAAATTAAAAAAACCACAGAAAGAGAGGGTTCTTATCTTTCCTACATCTGAATAAATGTATCTATTCGACTATGTCTCTGGTAACAGTTATATTGGTCGTACATACAGGCATCTGTTCACACGAATGGTTGATCACTTACCGAAAGGGCTCTAGAGTACCGAAAAGAAGACCCTTATGATTTATATAAGGAAACTCTTAATGAACTATGGGTGTAATATTGATACCTGTAAGTTCTTTACGATTATCAGTAGACAATGGAATAAGAAGTTGCTTCCAGTTGCAGAAGCCTGTGCAATACGAGTTGTCAAACCAGATCTCTGCATTTAGAAGGAAATTACGCCTTGAATCTAAAATGGTGGGAATTACAACCTTATCTCATCACATACACTCTTTTTTACTTGCTCTTTACCATTAATTATTGCTCCTATTTTATATTTTGATTTTCCTTCCGTAATCTACCTCACTTAACTAACCTTGTTCCCATTATCATTAATATCATTATTATTCATCTCAATACATACCTGATTTCCTGGTAATGTCATTTTAAGTGACTAACAACTATCTTGTTCTGAATAACGCAGTCTACCCTCAACCGATTCATTTATCACCTCAGTGTTAACATAACTGTTATTATTAGTTTTCCTACCTAAAAATCCACATGGTTTTCTAGACTACAGTTATATCCAGTCATATATTCTGTCTTTGGTGCCATGTGGAAAAGAAACTTCATTCATTCACCCTGCTATCGAATACGTACTATTTATAGCACAGCCTGTGTCCAAGTTGAACTTGACTTTCTAAGAGGGACGCTTGCGGAAAACGGCTATCCTGGCCGATTTATAGATAGGAATGTGCGAGAAACACATAAGAAACTAGGCATCAGCTCAGTTCCTAGAAAAACTTAGTTCGTGAATTTGGATTTCAAAGGTGATACGCATCAAGTATCCTGAAAAATCGTCTTTCCAGATCAATTAGTAGGACTTTTTTCCCAGTCAAACTTCATTTGATCTTTACCAGTAGTAAATTGTTCTCCCTTTGTGTAAAAGACAATAGCCCTCGACAGGCAACCTCCATGTTTATCTACCAGTTTACTGGCTCATGTGGAGGAAGCTACATCAGCCGTAGTCAGAGACTGTTGTCAATAGGCATACGAGAACATATTCCTACCTGGTTTTATAAAGGTGAAAAGAAATGCATTCGAAGTTCTATACTTGAACATTTAATCGATTCCAGCCATTCAAACGACCCAAACAATGATTTTAAGGTTGTCTATCGAATTCGCTCAAACATTTTATGTTTCTTCTATCTCCAACTTCTGAAAACAGAAGAGGTCTTGACTGTTCATGAACTGAAGCTTGACCTTTGTGTGCAAAAGAAGTATGTGCAGTCTTTGTTACTACTTTGGTCTTAATTTATTTTAGTCTTGGTATGCTTCATCCCTTTTTTGTTTTTTCAACCCGCCCCCCTCTTGTCACATTGACCTTTGTACTCTTATATCATCATTATCAATTAATTTTTATATTTAAGTGTTTCCGGTGTTATCTCATTTGATCTTCCTAATAACTGCAATTTTTAACAAGACATTTTCAAATTGTCTCATTCATTTAACCCAGTCCTTTGTTTGTTTACTAACTCCAGCACGTTTCCACCCCTTTTTAAATCATATGCACCCTAAAACGACGTAAAAATCTTACTTAACTCTTTTCGTCACCACCCAACCTTAAGGTCATCAGCTAGCAACATTATTGTAAATATAGTCACCATTATTATTATCTCAACCACCAATTATTTAAGTTAAATCTTCCTCACAGATTGTAGTCTTTAAGTATGTTATATAAATATATACGAATGTACAGCTTGAGAATAAATTCGTTGAAAAGAGTCTTTACTTCGCTGAATATCTTGTTTTGGTATCACAGTGGGAATTATGAATGTATATCCAAACTCATAATTAATTATATAATCTATCTTTAAACTGATGAATCTGAACATCCACTCTTATCTTTTGCATTAAGACATGACATGTTGTTACACGTAAGTCGATGTTTCAGTCTACGTTACATGTCTATATATATCTGTTCTCTTGGGTTACTCAAGGGTATATATAATCAAGTATTTAGCTGACTAGTTCTACTCAAATCTAGCTGTTAGTACACTTACAATTTGTCTTAAATATGCGTAGAGTAATAAATGTTTTCAATATTTAGATGAGTCTGGTTTTAAGATTATAAAACTATTATCAGGGTTTTTGCAGGAGGCTTTCCTTTAGATTACACTCATTTCAGAAGAGGATATTTGTGTAGGTAAGTGTTTCCATACAGCTAAAATTGGTCCCTTTATTATATATATATATATATATATATATATATATATATTATGGATGCTTAGTGATCACCATTTATTTTTCACATGAATCTAAGGTTTTATGTGATATGAGTAATCATAAACACTCATCTGATATGCTTGTCAGTCGCCTATTCACTGTAGTTTCGTTCAAACAAAATGCATTAACGGTGACACGTCAGTCAGAAAATGGAAATCTTGTGTTCTACATGTATGGTTTAGGTACTTAATCTGTGGTTGATCAAAAATGGAGGAAGCTCGAAACTGCAGTTGATTAAAATTCCTGTCAGTTCTTATTTTGCATTTGATAACTTTAAAAATAGAAATTTAGTGTTTACATAACATGCAATTACCTCAACTCCTTTCCTTCCGATACACTGACATTTCTCTGGAGTACATATACGCTGACATCTATATGGATCACTGAAATCTATTTCCTGAAATAAGAAAAGAGCACGCTAGGCATAAGAAGTATTACGAAACAAACAAAATGTAGAACTATAGAGTATTTGTGGGGGAATAACAATAAAGATAAAAATAACAGATTGACTTTGGTGTCAAATGTTACGAGTCAATCGGTTTAAAAATTTATTTCCACCACTTATCGTGCCTGTTGAAACTCATCAATTAGGTGCGTCTCTAACCTCAAGGACAATTATACTTCTCCTCAGATTGAGACTGGTATCATATAGTGATAGCCTCTATCAACAGACTATCCACTCCTCAGAAGGTCTTTTATGGGACTAAAATATCTGCAGGTATTAGTCATTACACGGTGTTTGATGTGACTGTTGAGAATGTTGAGTTCAGGGTAAAATTTTCCGATTATGGATATAATGTGACCATAAAGCCAAGGGATAATACATTCGCTTCACTATATCTCAATGTTAGATTCAGAAGTCAGGTGACATGCATTGATCAGAACTAGGAGTTTGATTGGCAAATTGGTTTTCATTCGCATGTAACACATAAATTTGCTATGGAATAGATGCTTGAAAAACTACTCGCAGAAGTTAAAAAGTCATTAAGTAACATCTTCCTTTTAAATGTTCGGGTGATATGGATTGAATTCTTTGAAGACTGGGTTAGATGTTAGGCTAATCAGAATCCAATCGATCTAAAACTTCATCTTGATGTTAAACAACAATTTACAGGGGACATTGTGTTATCGCTTAATAAACTCTTATTCCTACCCATAGGTCAGCTTTACTGCTCCTATGTGTTCATAAACGCTAAGTGATGACAAAAAGGTTCATCGTACTTAAGAAGTGTGAAATAATCTAGGTATTTCGTCATGCTTCCTTGGTAAGGAACAGGTGGGATGGATGTAGAGGCAACAGTAAAGAAGGTGTTAGGTTCAGCTTGGCTACTGATGTAATATTTGAATACTTTAAATGGCAATGAAATATCTAATGACCAAGAACTTTGTGATTAAGTGCAATCTAAAGTGTACACCTTAACGATTGAGGTACACAAACACAAGATTATAACTGGGAATTCTTTGTGATTGAGTAGAAGTATTGCTGGGATAGCGAGTATTATTCAACCTTACGTTGTTTAGTCTTCATCGCTGAACAAATTCTATCGATCTGGTTAATATTTCCACCATTAGGCTAATTAGCATCAATTTACATTGTACATTCTGGTGAACACTTAAAAACGGTCATCATGAAGACCTGTTTGACATGAATATGAATATTCGTGTTGCCCAGCAGTGAGGAATACATTCAACCTCGAAGGATATATGATGCTCTAGACAATGAAATATGGCACCATATAACAGCCAGTCACAGAAATGTGTTGTTTATTATAAGATAAATAATTTATGCACAAATTTAATTTTGCCAATTCAACACCAGTAAGCGATAAATTAAATGTGACATAAACAAATTAGTCTTATTCAATGCATCTCAAACTTTCTGTTGGACATGAATAAATATGTCATTTTAAAGAATAAATAAAATATGACTTCGTTTTTCGGATATTTATAATTGGACTTCTACTAAATTCCAAACCATCCTTCGCTAGATATGTTTGCTCCTGAATGATTTCAAAGGCTACCCTAACAACTACTGAGACAGCTAATTATGTCTCCCCATTTTATGAGAAACTACCCTCCCAGTGGAAATACTGGAACCTGATTGGTTATTTCAGAAATTACTAAGGTCGTCTTTTAAAATCACTTATGCTCAAAAGAAAACTGGTTGGTCATTCTGAAAAAACAAGGTAGATCCGAGGAATAAAAATACAGATATCCCTTCTATCTAACTTTTATGTATGGAAATTTTTACGTATAATGTGCAGAACATTCTAGAAAGAGGTGAGTTTTTACTTCTTCTTCTTGTGACACAAATTAACACTGAACTTACTAGGAAGTTTTAAAAATTCTATGCGACGCTTTTCATGTTCACCTTACAAGAAAGAATGCATGAATATGCAGCATAAATCAGTTATTTACATCAGTAAATGTAACAATAAGGGGAAAATACAATAAATTAAAGAATATATTCATAACCTGTTTATGATTACATATATAAAATAAAATGATTATCAACAAACCTGCGATGTTCCCCTTTGTGTAGTAACCACCAAGAGAAATAAAGGCAGTAACCTGGGTTTAAAAAGAAAGCAGTTATAAATCATCATGTTAGCAAGCGTATACTCATTTAACCTTGAAATGGAAATAACGTAGAACAATTCGTAATTGTAGCATGATGTAACTTAATAAGCATTCCCAAGGCTAATGACTGCCATACAGTCCATTCTCTTGTAATTCAAATAGCATTCTCCTTAGACCATTGATATCCTCAGCTATGTATGCTTAGAAGCATGAATAAAAAATTATCGACTGTATTTTTTTGTTGTCGAAAAATTAGATCCTAAATGAGGTGTACTTGATTTTTTTCGCCTATAATTCAACCACCCATACACCTATACTAAAGAAATATCACTGATACGGTGAATCATATTCCAACATTATCGTTTATAGATGGTAAAATGAAAATGGTGTACTAGAGAAGAAGGAGATTAGGAAACAAACAGACGTCAGCAACAGCAAAGATAACAAAAACAACAACAAACTGCTTAAAGTGATTTACCATGTAACTTTTAAATTACACTATTCAGTAATTTTTGTACAAGTTAAGTTAACAAATGGCAGTGTAAAAGTTTCAGTGTTTTTACGTTTATTCTAATAATAATCATTCTTATAAATTCTACTGACAAAAATAGGAAAAATTATTCTGTGTAAACAAAACCAACTGTTTTTAAATTGAACTACTTAATTAAGTCTTGTTCACTATGATAAGAAACGAGTAAAGCTTAATAACATAGAGATTAAATTCATTGGTTTTCTAATCATAAGCTCACTATTTTCTTAGCGATGCTACATTATTTGACTAACAGGTGAACAAAAATTTCTGACTTTCGTCTAAACAATTCAATATCAATGTAGTTTGAGATTTATGGGGATTTTATTCACTTCAAGATAGTATTCATCATGGATTGATATCGGTTGGAGAAATGCTGAAAACCCTAATGAATTAGATAGCTGTTTCGTTCTCGCAAAGGACTCTTTGGCAGCATGCATCTCGTGATAAAGCTATTCGCGATAACCTTCCAAAATAGTGAGTAAAGTTATTAGGAATTATGACCTAGTGGAAAATCAAGCCTGAATTTTGAACTCATTAATCGTCTCATATTATGAGTATTTTAAAAATCACTACTTTGAATCTAGTTCTCACTTAGATTCGTCTCAGATTTCAGACATTCTTACTGCTATAAAATTACCACTTTATTAATTTTGTTTCAATTCTTCGAGGGTGATGAATAGTTGGATAATTGGATATTGACATCCTGTGTGAAAACATTTCCAGGAAGAAAATATGAAAGATACATTTTCTAGTGCTTTGACTGCAAAACAATATGCTATTCTTTTCATCAATTATTCAGTGTTCAGACAAGTTAAATGCTTCATGTTATTGAAAAACTGAACCAGATTACTACAATTCAACTTGAGTTCACAGCTACAGTCTTCATCTAAGACTATTTATCTATTTTATTGTGGACAATAACTTTAATAATTAGGTAGTCACAGTGAAATTTGTCAACAATTGACTGGTATATCTGTTGAACATGTTATAGTGTACCTTTTTGGCACCAAATTTTTCTAGTTTTAAAATAAAAAATGGGAAGCCGTAATCTGTGGGATCAATGAGTCAGAATTGAGATGGAGGCCAAATGAAAATCATAATGGATAGTCGTGCTATATCTCGAAATGATAGAAGTGAAAATCTGTGAATTACTGAATTCCAACCCAGTGGCTGAATGATTATTATCATCACCATGAGACTTGAAGGTTCTGAGCTCGAGTCTTGGTGGGATCATGAGCGCTTACTGCTGAGTTATCCCACAGTGGGATGAAACAATTGTCCAGTGCACCTCAAAATGATGTCAGTAGATAGTGAATACTACCTTGAAATTGATAAACGTTTAAAATGTCTAAATATTAACCCAATAATCTTCTACCACATCAGCAGTTGTCTTTGGTTTTATAACTTTTGTTTTAACATGTAAACATTCTTCCCTTGAGTTTCGTCGGTTTCACATCTTCTTTTTGCTGATCAGCAACCAAACACTTAGAGTGTGTAATTCATCCATTCATAAATAGATGAGTTTTAACGTCTTCCCCTACATTAACCTTTGTACTCATACCAATAAATAAACTGTTCATTCAAGCGTTTTTTAATAACATATTTTTCAATTTCTCCTTTTTTATTAGTCCTTACATGAATAAAAGGCACTGACTACTTTGTTACCGATGCATGTCGATTTGTACAGGTCTGGTCACGTGTTAGGTGACAACAAAATAGCCAGTCTCTTACAGTATTATGCTTGCCTATCTTCGTGCCCATCTTTGTACTCCAACAAGCTATAGTTTTACTGCAATCCCACTACACAGTCACTTTTCCTCTTTCACTAACACTTTGTATTTGTTATGAATCTTATTCGTTGAGGCATGACAACCATTTTGCACTTGTAATACTATTTTGATTGGCTGTCATTGTCTCAATGATTAATTTGGTTTATGAACTGATCCCAGTCATTTGGCTAGTTTGTTTGGTGGGGAAGGCGGCTCAGAAGTTTTTGTTATGCGTTATTCGTTGATAATTTAGTTCGATTTTGTTGTTTTCCGCTGTAGTTAATTCAGCAGTTTTCATACCGAAGAACCACATCTGAAAGTACTTATTATTATTATTATTCCGGTTGCACGGGTTATTTAATAAACCTTATTACTTCTGTCCTAGACGTATGGAATTCTAGCACCACTTTTGCTGGGGTCCTACAATCACTGTTTTCGATTCAACAATATCCTTCTGTAGAAATCCCACCCAAGTTAGCAATACAATTTAACCTTTTATGTATGCATGTTTCATTGAAACAAAATTAGGCGATTATGGCATCACACTGTTTAATTTCCTGTCGTTCTTATCTAACAGATAATTACAAATTGGAAAATACAGAGAGAAGATAAATGGACTCAATGATAAGAAGTTTATTGTTGTTTATCATGCATAAACATGATATCGGGATTATCAACAAAAGTGGAAGAAACTCATATGTGTTTATATTACAACTTTTTCATCGACAACACACTTCATACTCTGAGTTCTGAACTTTTGGAAATCATTATGCTTCATGCTGAAATTAGTCTACTCAGGAGAAATTCCTGGTTGCAGAGATTGTCACGTATGATTGAGTGATTGATGATAAAGATAAGATAAAATCAAGAGTACTGAGGTGAAAATTAGTGTAAAATAGGAATTATATTCTTTGACTTCATATGTACTCATAAGTATAGACATAATGAAAACAATTCTTAGTAGTAAGCCCGACTTTCATCACAAACTGTCGTTTTCCGAATCCTCATGAAATCATGCTACTCTTTGAGTTTCTCAACTAAACATGTATCACATATCAAACAAATTTATTCAGTTTACTTCCCAAGGTATTATTATTGATCTGACATTTTAGTCAGTGACAATGGTGAAAGTACAAATTGAAACAAATAAATTTAGATATAAAATTGACTTGAAATGTATTACGCACTGTATCAATTAACAGACTGATGGCGGAATCAAAGACTAAAGTGAAATTTTGTTGTGCAACACACACAGAGACGGATATACAAAATCAACCTTCCATTCATTCAGAGATTTCTGTTATACAGAAGGTTACTGGAATCAAAGTAACACTCATTGCGCAACAAGTATAAAAAAGTGATCGATTTTCTCCTGTTTCGTTTAATTCGTAACTGTTGACAGACAGACTATACGCAAAACCAATCGAACCACCAAAGAAACTTCAAAGCACAAAGAAAGTAAAAAAAATAAAGATAAACTTATTCCTCACCGGAATCGGACAGGAGAAACGACGCCAGTTGGTTAAAGCCTGCCTTCCGGAAGCCAATTGGCCGATATGTCTTCTCTCCCTCCATGAAAGCGAAAATAACAATGGGGACATGGAATGTCCGAACAATGTTTGAAGCTGGTTCGCAAGGCTGCTGAGATTGAGAAAGAGATGAGGAGGTACAGTAATGAAGTACTAGGCTAGGAATCTGTGAGGAATCTGCAGATGGAATGGAAGTGGACTTGCACAACTATCAACCGTAGGGTCAATAATCTACACCGACATTGTCACCCAGATGACAACCACGAGCACACTGAGTTTTCGAGTGGCTACCATGATGTCCCCTTGAACATCGATGGGCCTCTGGGCTGTGGGAACCAATCTCCTCGAGGATGAGGACCATGACAGCATGATGAATTCAACTCGAAAGGAAGGAAAGTCACAATCATTCAGTGCTACGCTGCTCACCTGCTAATAATGCAGATCAAGTGAAGAAGGAGGAATTCTATAGACTACTTCAATCACTACTCGACAAGACTCCAGTTGAGGACATCAAAATCCCAATCAATGACATGAATGCCAAACTGGGAGTGGACAACACAGCAAGAGAACTGATCATGGGTCGAGAAGCACTCAGTGAAGTGAACGAGAATGGAGAACTGTTTGCAGGTTTCCGCGAATTTAATGACTTTGTGATTGTGGGCAATGTGTACAAACACAAGGATATTCACAAGGCGAGCGACATGGATTTGATTTCACCAGACATCAAGACACACTCGAAATCAGATCGACTTCATTTGAATGTGAAGAAAGTGGAGACGCATACAGCCTACTGGAGAGAAAATAAAGAAGAAGGGAGCAGATGTAGATTCACATGACTCACACCACTATCCAGTGCAAGGAACTATCCTGAAAATCAAGTTGGAAGCCTTCAAAGAAGTTGGAGATAGACGACCACAGTTCAAGTTCAACACGCAGAACAGGAACTGAACTGAAGGACGAAACTTCGAGGGACATCTTCACGCCAGTCTGTCATCAGGACAAAATGGGAGGTATTAGGCAGCATCGTTGAAGAAGCCTGTGTGGAAGACACTGGGACTGTCTGAAAGAGATGTGGGAGGAAACCTGTATGACTGTATTAGGGAGGAAGAAGAAGCAGGATAAAACAAGGAAGGCATCTTGACGGACACATGGGAGCTGATG